GTGCTCTTCCGATCTGGGGGGAAAGAAATGCATCCTTTTTATAACTTATTTAGACTTGGTACAATCACTCCTTTTTGTTGTCCCCTGTAGAGCTGCATCTGCTATGAACAAGAACGATCCGTTGGTAATGTACAACTATCAGAGCTCAGCTGTGCAATGTCTTGCAAAGATTCTACAAATGCAAAAGGAGGAAAACTGGATGTTGCCAGTAATGAACGTAATGTGTCTGGAGCTAAGATTATCGGCGATAGGTGCAGAAAATGTTAAAAACAATAAAAACGTAAAGCCTGGTGAAGTTCTAGAGAAATGTGCAGAGTGCTTGATGGCCTGTTTCCGAGTTTGCGCGGCTGACAGTAGAAGTTCAGAAGAAGATACAAAACGATGGGGAATGCTAGCCTTAATCAATCAATTACTGAAAGTATATTTCAGAATCAATAAATTACACTTGTGCAAACCTTTGATACGGGCCATAGAATCATCCCCTTATAAAGATCACTTTGCATTGGCTCAACAAATTACTTACAAGTTTTTCGTTGGCCGGAAAGCCATGTTTGACAGTGATTATAAAATTGGTAAGAGTATATTTTTTTGATCTCGCTTTTTACTGAGACTGTAGCGTGGCTACAGTAACTGCGCTAGTCTTATACTCAAATAATACTATTTGCATAATATTAGAGAATTAGAGAAACATACGTTTGCCTGAAATTGTTTCAGCCGACGAGTATCTGACTTATGCGTTTGAGCATTGTCACATACAGTGCTCAAAAAATAAGAGATTGATCTTGACTTATCTCGTTCCTGTGAAGATGCTCCTGGGATATATGCCCAAGCAAAGTGTCTTGGAAAAGTATAATTTGATGGAGTTTTGGGAGCTGATGGAATCTGTAAGGAAAGGAGATTTACGTTCTCTGGAAGGAGTAATGGCAAAACACGAATCTTTCTTCATAGACGCAGGCATATATCTAATTGTGGAAAAACTCAAGCTGATCGCTTATAGAAATTTATTCAAGAAAGTATACTTGGCGTTGAATACACATCAGATACCAGTGCTGAGCTTGCTTGTGGCGTTACAGATGTATGGGATGGAAGATATAGATATGGACGAGACAGAATGTCTTCTTGCCAATTTAATATATGAAGGCAAGATTAAAGGCTATATATCTTATCAGCATAAAAAATTAGTTATATCTAAACAAAATCCTTTTCCATCCTTATCTACCATTATACCGTAAACGATCGTAATTGTAATTGCGCTGATATTTTCACAATAAATATATTATTATTTTCTACAATGTTAATGCTTAATCAATGACACGAGAAAAACGTGTTTGATAATTTTTTAGCTTCTGCCTTTTACTTATGTAATTATTAATGAATTTCATTTCCAAATTCTTTTATTATATACTGGATATCTAGAGTTGATCGCAATTCCGTAAGTGGCGCTGATTGGTCTAATTACTATATATTGCTACTGCTGGTATGTCTGTCGCTAATGCGTCGCTGCAGGTATATACATATAATTCGAAAAGTTGCACCGCACGTATGTATGTACATACGTACATACATACATACACGCGGATGCCACCGAATGACCGACTCGCATCAGGACGCTATCTTATCAACAATCTTCTGGTTTTGATGTGAAATTTATGAAACTCACCACTGACAGACGCGCTACAATCGTACGACCAAGCGATTTTTCTGCTTCTCCGCGGGAGCTTGGTAATCTTGGTGGTGGTGGTATGGAACAACCCGACTCGCGTTTTTACTTCGCTCTACTTCAAATCGTTCTTCTCGTCATCGTCGCTGTCCACCTCCATCGTCTATATCGCGCGCTCGCGATGCAACATAATGCACGAGAGTGAGTTCAGTCAGTTTTGAGTGTCAGTAGTGTCACTAATTGAGGTGAAGCAAGTATGGCGCGTCCTAAACACAGAGCGAGCGCAGACGTGTGCGCTGATTGCGGGACACTCGGTGAGCGCAGCATTTCCTTCTTCTGGTTCTGACTGATTAAGTTCGCACGCGCGGCTTCTTCTGTTCTTTCATCGTCTCTCGTTCTCTTCTTACTTTTTATTGTTAATAAAAGATAAACGTGTGATTATTGTATGACGAATACGAATGTACAGTATCCTCCTTAAGTATAATATTTATGTTTCTGCAAGTTTCTAATTAGCAATGTTCGTTTAATTAAGAGAATATCATGGTATCATGTATCGTGATGTTTCAGAACCAGGATGGGCATCAATAAATAGAGCTATTTTATTATGCGACGATTGCTGCGGGATTCATCGTAGTTTAGGACGTCATGTGTCGCACATCAAATCATTACACAAAGGCGTTTGGAATGCACACCTATTGAACGTTAGTACATATGCAGTAGCTATAGCTACAGCTCTAGCTAACGTAAACGTTACTAAAACTATCAACTAAATATTTCAGATGGTGCATACATTGAGTGATAACGGAGCCAACAGTATTTGGGAACATTCCCTGCTAGATCCTAGCAACTCCAAGATTAGTAGACGAAAACCGCAGCCCAAGGATTCCTTACAGTTAGTATTGTGGTTATATATTGACACATGTTTCATTGTTTTGTCGCAGAATATACAACTTTCATTCTAAGATTCTTTCCTTAAGATACTCTGACATTTTTTTAATGAATCAAATTTAAATAGAGATCATTATCAGTTATCGTTTTTGATTGAAATTAACTCTAAATGATAAGTGTTTTCCTAATGTACGTCAGTTTTTACTTTTTATATTATTTGTTTATAGTCCAATAAAAGCAGATTTTATTAAGGCCAAACATCAACACTTGGCTTTTATATTACGGCCAAGCAAGGAGGAATGTTGTACTGAGGAGGAACTCAGTAAACAGTTGCACAGTAGCGTTCGAACGAGTAATTTAGAAACTTCGTTGAGGTTGTTGGCACAAGGAGCCAACTCCAATTATTTTTACAAGGTATATTTTAGTATAGCAGTATATTCACAAGTATAACACACACACACACCAATGTATTACATTGTGTAAAAAGTATTGTGGAGAAATAATTTTATTAAATTACATGTTTATGATACATAGGAGAAAGGAACCACACCTCTACACGTGGCAGCTCGTGCTGGACAAGCTCTTCAAGTAGAACTTTTAGTAGCTAATGGGGCAAACCCGAGTGTGGTTGATTTAAATGGACAAACAGCTGCTGATATTGCCAAGCAAGTATAAAAATAATATCTTTATCATAAACGGGAGAATATTTCAATATTTATTTTAAATATTCTTTTCATTTTTTCCACTTCACAGAATGGCAGGTCATATAGATTTATCTGAACGCATAATTGAATGCATGTACGAAGTAACAGATAGACTGACATATCACATATGCTCTCGTAAACCAAGTCATCGAGGCGATCAACATCTCATAAGCTCTGATCTGGCTTCTTTCTTGGATAAAAACGAGTTAGCTTTGGAAGGAAGAAGCAGATTACAAATGGTATGTGGAAATTCATATTTTCATTATTTACTTTACTAGTACATAACAGGCGCGCGCTGCGTATTGAATCCCATACATCTTCCAATAACATTTACACCAAATTACATTTTTATTAAACAAATTTTAACAATTTTCAATAAAATGACGTTTTAATCGGCCATATTGAATCGGCCAATTTTAAATAAAATCATGATTTTGAAAATACCCACATAATTTATCTCTAAGATAAGCCCAGAAAGAAGTCGATATTTTTATTTCTCTGGAAGATATGAATTTTTAAACATTAAGGAAAAAAAGCTTCAATGCAGATAACATGGCATTTGATTTTTAAGATAAAAATTTTTTTTTGAAAATTTGTTATATCAGTTGATTTATAAACTACAAATTTTTTTAAATATTTTTTTATATCATTTGATCTTTAAAATAAAATTTTCTTTTTTAAATATTTTATATCATGATTTTTATAATAAAAATTTTTTTTGATCCACCATCTTACTCTTTTTATATCATGTGATTTTTAAAGTAAAAAATTTTTATTGAAAATTTTTTATATCATGTGATTTTTAAAATAAATTTTTATATCGTATAATAATGTAATAAATTAAATTTTTTATATTGTGTGATTTTTAAAGTAAAAAGTTTTTATTGAAAATTTTTTATATCATGTGAATTTTGAAATACAAATTTTTTTCTTGAAAAATTTTTATATCATGTAATTCTTAAAATAAAAATTTTTTTTAAGATCGGAAGAGCACACGTCTGAACTCCA